TAGCTTTTCCTCAAGCAAAGTAGAAACAGGCATCAATGCATTATATGTGACCCAGAGAAAGCCCATTTCCCCAACATTTGACTCTCTTTGAATTTGTAGATCTTGATCTGTTTTCATCAACCTTACATGTTAAACCAATGAAAAAAATCATATTTTTACTAACAGTTTTCATTTGTGTTCTATATTTTCTACCTACTTAAGATCCACTTTCTAAAATATAGTTTTGAGTTTTCATGAGAAAGTTTCAAATGCCAAAGGTCTTATTTTACTTAGAATGACCAAAAAGTACCATTTGGTAGACTCAATTTATTAGAATAGTGGTAGCACAGAAATACCTTTTATGGAGTAAATGTAGCCCTTTCCTAGGGTATTGAATGCAACAGATGATTTTTAATTTTTTTTAATTTACAAAGTGTAATAAATCCTTTTACATATAAAATGTATATCCTTAAGAGAGGAAGGTAGCCTAAGCTGTGGGTTTTGCACAGTTTGCAACTGTGAATATAGAGGCCATTTTTTTTTTTTAAGTCAAACAAGTCTATGTACCTTACAGTGAGCAAAACTGAGAATTAGGTCCTCTCTACACACCTACATTCTGTTTCTACCAAGAAATGAGATTACGCTGCTAGCAATTTAAAAACTATAATATTCCATTTCACCTGAAGGAGTTGCTAATAACAATGGCAAGTTATGAAAGCCACTGTGTTCAAAATGATGAAAAAACAAGGCACTCAAGATCTTTTGTGAGAATAATAGGTATTCCTAGAAAGAAGAGAAAAAGACAAAGAAAAAGATATGATCAGACAACTACAGGGAGAAAAATATCCCTGAAATTTAAAAAACAAAAAGCAAAACAAACAAAAAAAACCCACCAAGTCTACAGATGGAAAAGTCTCACCCAGTCCCAAGCAATGCTCATGAAAATCCTCACAAAGCTAGGCTTATATTGGTGGAATTCCTGAATTCCAATATTGAAATAAATAGCATACGAGATTCTAGAGAATTTTTTTTTAAAGTTACTTACAAATGAACGAGAATCAGACTATCAGGAAACTATTCACTGCCATTCTAGAAGCCAGCAGACCACAGAGGGGATCCACAGATTAAGAGAAAAGATGTCAGTGCAGGAATCCTATTCCCAGAAAAGATATTAGTCACTCATCAGAGTAGAAGAAAGACTTCTTAACTGTGCTGGAATTCATAGAGTTCAGGGTATCTGAGGAAAATAATGGAAGCTACAGATCACTGTATCAGAGATCACAAGACAAGAGCAGAAAGCAAGAGTGATACTGTCACTGAAAATCCATGAAGGAAGCATAAAGAAGGGATTCTTAAAACAGAAGAGAAATACTGTAAGAGGAAACTAGCAATGATCTGTAATATTATTTCAACAGAGCCCAAGATTGGGGCTGGGGTGCACTAACAGGGTAGCATGAGAGTGGAACAGGAGGAACTTTCAGAAGTTCTCAGGTCAGTGGGGAGTGTGGGGTCAGCACATCAGGCAAGGCCATTGTTATTATTTATTTTAAGCTAATAATAAATAAATAGACATTCAAGATGCTCCGAACATAATGACTTACTCAGTTAAGAACTGTAGCCAACCCTCTAAATTACAGAGGCAAAGAGGGAAAGTTAAAAGAACCCGACAAAGATTAAAAAAAGAGAGAGAGAGATAAAATGGCAAAAGAAGATAGATAGAAATAAGCATAACAATGAAGGGATAAAATGAAGTACAGACTTATCACACTGAATGGAAATGATCTGAATTCTTCTATGGGGCTGGGGTGGGGGGAGGATTTGGATTTTTTTTTTTTAAGATTTTATTTATTTATTTGACAGAGAGATCACAAGCAGGCAGAGAGGTAGGCAGAGAGAGAGAGGGGAAAGCAGGCTCCCTGCTGAGCAGAGCCCGATGATTCTTGATCCCAGGACCTTGGGATCACGACCTGAGCAGAAAGCAGAGGCTTTAATCCACTGAGCCACGCAGGCGCCCCAGGATTTGGATTTTTAAAAATCCAATATGAATACTTGAAGGAGTTGTGGGAGGAGCTGAAGGTCAGCTCAGATCAGCAGACTTCTCTCTGAGCTCTGGGGAGGAACCAATCTGCAGACACCAAAGGGCTGTTTTTCTTGGGGTGATAGAATTCCGGAATCATGGATTGGAAGGCTTAGAAACAAAAGCGAGGCTCAAAATGAACCTGAGGGTTATCCTCCCAGCTTCCTCCCAGAACACACTCTGAGACATGCACGTTTATTAAGCACCATCTGACTTCCGTCTTTCCCACTCATGCGCAACCTCCACATTGATCTCAGAGTGGTCTTTCTAAAATCAGAATTCGTAAGGTCACCAGCATGCTTCTCACTGGGGTGTAGGAAGAGGGTCTTCTAAATGGAGGTAGAGGTTCACATTTTTCCCAGGTCCTTTTACAAACAAGAGATTCCTATTGCTCCAGAATCATTAAAAGAAGATGGCTTTGTTAAATTTCACACTAAGAACAATAGATAAGAAATCACCAAGATTTCCTGCCTAATAACTCACTAACCAAATGTAACACTGATGAGAATTTCTCCCCTTTAAGATTATGTTTTATCTCTTGCTACTTCAGTGCAATGTGGAACATATGGATATTGGAGTCAGATACATTTGTGTTCTAATATTTGTTCTGCCATGAATTACTATGTAACAAATCACTTAGCCTTTCCTGGTCTGAGATTCTTCAAACATCCACTGAAGGAAGAATACTTAACCTTTTGGGAGGATGAGAAAACCTACTTAGTTGGGAAGACTATGCCAAAGGAAAAAACCCTGCAAGTGCTTGGTGTAGGCTTTGAAGAACGGGTAGGTGCTAGATAAATGTTTCCTAATGGTATTTTGAACATGGAGAAGGTTAGCAATTTATGATCTCCATTTAGTCACTCATACCTCAAACCAACAAATGGCTTGTCATGTGGCATAGTTTTCTGAGTGGTGAGAGTGAACATTGGTTTTATTCCATTGGAGCCCATGATGAATATCATTCTAGAAGCAGAATGTCTTCAGCAGCTTAGTCTAGTAACTTGAAATATTCTACCTAGGTTGGATCTGTCCTTCCATCTATCTTTCCACAGAAAAAAACACAATTGTTAATTCAAATTTAAAGCTGATAATAAGCACACTATCAGCAACCGTAGGTGCCTAAATGGGGTTAGCATATTGGGATAACTTCTGGCAGTACAAACCTTTCAATGACTTATACCAATGTTCTTGGGGAAAAATCCAAAATCCTTTACATGACCCATATAGTCTAAGTGGCCCCTGGCTTCTGCTTTTCTTTCCAGCATCATCTTGTACAATCCCAAACCCATCTCCTTCTGTGCTGAGGAACACCCGTCATCTTATAGTTCCCTGACCTTATCTCATGTCCTCCTGCCACCGGGCCTTTGCACTTCCTCTTCTCCTGGTGTGTAATGTTCTTCCTCCCCCACATACACTATCCTTCCCATTTATTCCACTTATCCTTCAAATTTTAATTCAAGTGTCATTGCCACAGAAAAGATTTTGATGAACACCACTCCTCAACCTCACCCCAAAACAGGCCCAGGCTAGAGAGGCTTCTTTGTTCCATTCTCTGGGTTCTGCCTGTAATTATCATTAAGTCATGAGATTATTCGATTAATGTCTCTCTCCCAGCCATTCAGTTAGCTTCCTGAGAGCAGGTACTGATGTGGTTTTGTTCATCATTGTACACACAGCAGCTAGCACCGTACCTCCCGCATGGCAAGTGCTTGGTGTTGTGTGAATGAACAGAGAAGTGAATGAATGAATAAATGAGTATCAGCCAGCTCCAAAACTATTTATTTGTCATTCATGCTGCTAAAAGATTTTACTGGGTTGTAGACAAGGCATAAACAAGCAAGTAACCCTCCAAACTGACTTTGGAACTTTTAAGTAGACTCTAATTGTTCACTCTTCATTCCTCTTTATTTAAGAGCATTTGAATCACCTTGAGCTACCAGAAGATGAAACATTCGACCAATCTGCTTTTGTGTTTTAATTCTTTGGAGAGACAAGTAAACCCTATTTCCTTGCACCACTACAAAGTTTATGTCTAGGCAAGATTATACCTACTAGATTTCTTCTTTCATTTTTTGTGTTAATAGAACTTTCCAGTTTAATACAATTTCACTTTGCTTTTGCCAGCCTCGAGAACACGACTCAGAGTGAAAGATAAAAAGTAATACAAAAATGTACCAAGTAAAAAGCAACAGAAACACGTTTTTCAGTTTAGTTGTAGGTCACATTATTTAAATTGTTCAAATAGTCTGATATATATATACCATCTAAGAAAGAATTGAGGACTTCAGAATAGTGGTTTGCTTTTCTTTAATGTCTACAGGGTCTAGGGAGCCTTTTTGCAGTGTTCGCTACTCCCTGGCCTTTTAGAGGGACCCTGACACTTTGTGTCAAAAACAAAAACAAAACAAAACTCAGTGGCAGCCTGGACATTTCTGACAACAGATCACCTAGATAAGATTAAAATCAAAATTCTTTTTTTCAAAGCCCTTCCATTTTATTTTCTCCTTCAAAAAGAGTTCCTAGCCCAGATGCCAGGACTATTTTACTTTCATTCAGTTGACACAAGTCATTTTACCTTTCATCTTTCTCTGAGAACAGTAAGCCACTCTTCTACTTTCTCTACTAACAGGTAACTCCAAGCAAGTAATTTAAAATTCTAATGGTCTGATGAAATATTTTGTCTTCATCTTAAAAAACACAGTATCAAAGGAAGCAACACAAACTCAATGCCATCAACTGTGACATGGCGACACAGATTCCCCGAGCCGAGGACTTGGGGTTCTTCTGCAATTATTTCTACTTTCAAAAACAAAAAAACAAAACACAGGAAAAAAACAACAAACAAAAATCCCTCTTATTGGGTGCCTGATTTTTTTTCCATTTGGGTTTTCTTAATGTTCACTTGAATAATAATTTAATAAGAAATAATCAATGGGCCACTTACCTGTTAGGACTTCAACTTGGAAGCAGAAGAGAAGGAAATACCACAAGTCTGACTTCATGTTTGCCAGAAACAGATGCAGTCCTCACCAGCATTCAAAGCTGACAGTGAATTCATGTTCTCAACTGTTTTCTATTTGCTGGAAAGGAAGTGGGTTTTATGAGGGTTGACACTTACCATCAAGGCAAGGAGGTGTCTCTCCATTGATGTCAGTGACTATGTAAGAGGCATTACTGTTTACAGGAGTTTAGTTTAATCCATTGGATTGCTGAAAATTTTGGAAAACAGAGGGAAACGTTACCCTCATTCTGGTTCCAATATTGCGAGGGAAAGAGGCAATGCCTATTTTCAAAGCCACCCTACTCCACTGAATCAGTAGTTACTGGGGATAACAGGATCTAAAAATAGCCACATGATAAATAACATGTTTTTTGATACCTTTCTATCTTCCACGATTTGCTCCAGAGATAGAAACCCTTTGAAACAAGACAAGAAAAAAAAGGGAATTATTACAGAAATGGAAATGAAGATGTATCTGGAAGAAGAGAGACATAGGAATCAGAGAAATATTTATATCACATTCACTGCAGATTATAATTCTCCAAATGATAGGGTGTATTTTAATCAAAACTAAACTCTGTCCTGCATATTACAGCAGAGTTTGTAGAAACCAGGAATTCTGTGCCTATAGCCTCAGATGAAAACAAGAAAGTTGAAAAGCCTACCCATGGTGTCTCCATCTCTGCAGGGAGATAGAACAGACAATAACAACAATAGTAATAATAATATAAATAAGTAGATTTGTATGTATGTGTTTATATGGAATATTCATTTTAATGTAAAACATGCATAAAATTAAATGTAAAACCATATATACTTAATATGTACAAAACAGAATAGAAATAGCTAATATTACTATATTAATTTGGATTTGTGTATATGAATTTATATTATGTTTTATACATATATACATATATAATTTCATTATTCCATTTAATTCTCCTAACCATTTTATGAGATGGGGACTGCTAATCTCCCATTTTACAGATGAGAAAAACTGAGGCAGAGAGTTGTATAGTACTGGCACAAATCAAATAGTAAGTGGCAATGCTGGGATTTGGAGAGTCTAGTTCCAGAGTCCTCACTCATAACCAAAGGGGTAGAGCCTCTCAAGCCAACCATCCGGAGGTCTCAACCACTTCCAAGATGCTGGATCCAGGTTGGGTTTCTGGGGAATAACAGGGCAAGACCAACTGTCAGCCTGCAGAAGGGACATCCAGGTAAGAAGCTGAGATCAGGAGGTCAGGGCAACCAAGGTTTCAGTTCAATGTATGACCTCTGAAGCAGAATCCAGGTGTGAAGCTCTAGGAGAGCAATGGGGGCTCCCGGACCAGAGCCAAGGGGTTGCACAAATAAGGTAGGAGGCTGATCCTGCAGTGATTCCACTAAGTCTCTGATGTTCCCCAAGGACCTTTTTTTTTTAGGGCTTCTAGTCCTCAGTAGTGGGTGTGAAAGAAACTATTTGAGGTATTAAGCTAGCCTGACCAGGAAATACTGACCCACCAAGACCCCTGGGAACCTGTTACCCTGATTTCCTTCTTCTTTTCCTTTCCAGTGTACTCCCTGATAACATTAAGAGGAAATGCCTCCAGACCCATGGTCATGGTACTGGAGTCCTTTTCCAGCCAAAAGGAGACAGTGGAGAATAATTGATTTTTTCTAACCTTGTTGTGGCCAAGCTCTGGAATTAAGTCTAGAAAGCTCTTAATTTCATCTGATAAAAGCTACCACAAATTCTAGAGCTCAGCTGTGGTTCTGCAGAGGACACTAGGGCAGGAATCTAATAATGAACATTTATGGAGTACATACCACATGCCAAAACTGCATTTCACATGAATGATCTCATTCCGTGCTCACAGTTACTCTATGACAGAGATCTCACTATTATTCCCATTTCACAATGAGAAAACTGAAACTTAAAGAGATTAAAGCTCACACAGCCAATAAGTAATGGAATCAGGTCAACCCCAGACAAAGAAACCAAGTTCCATGGGATGTCTGGGGGACTCAGTCCCTTAAGCAGCCAACTCTGGATTTCACCTCAGGTCCCTGGGATTGAGCCCCATGCTAGGATCCCCATTCTCTCCCTCTCTCTGCCCCTCTCCCTGATCACTCTCTCTAAGATAATAAATAAATAAACCTTTAAAAAAAAAAAAAAAAAAGGAAAGGAAACTGAATTCCACACTCTTAATTACCACACTATACTCATGTGATTGTCTTCATTTATCTGGTCAGAAATTACTGGTAACATGATTTGGGGCCTCATATTTTGGTGGAAGAAGGGTGCACTTAGGTCCCAGACAAAGTTCTAAAATATTCTAATGCAAAAAAGTTTTCCTAATAAATTCAGGTGCTGTGTTTCTATCTCAAGGAGAGGAAAAACACTTTATGTATGGTATGGCTCAGCCTTAGTTCAACTGGATATGCATATTCTTATTTGTTCTGAATCTCTTTGCTTTTTCCCAACCAACACAATTCTCTGTAAGCCACTTGGTGATAACTGATATTAAAGGGGAATAGACCTTGCTCTGATGTAAATGTGCCTTATGTCCAAGACCCCTGGGAGTGATCCTGTCTGGGCTGCCTCTTCTCAAAAATCTCAGTTAAGAATGCAATTACTTGTGGTTTTAAATATTCAGAACTACTTTTCATGTGCTTGGAAAATAAACTGGGCAACAATTTCCGTTCACCCCCCCCCCCCCAGGAAGCACTTTATATTTGCTTTATTCTTTTTTTCTTTTTTTCATTCCATGACTTAAGAGGGTTTTGATTTGTGTGTGCAGAGGCCTGGGGTGAGGGTGGGGAATGGAAAGTCTGTTACGTTAAAAATGGAATGTTTATTATTCCTTGCCTTGTGGGCACCAGCCTGGGTGGTGCTGTGTGCTTGCTTTTTTGAAGTTCCACAGGTGAATAGCTTTCTTTTGCTTTGCTTGAAACCTACTGAAAGCAACATGTGCATGTGTAGAGGAGCCCACACGCCAGAGCCACTGAGCTCCAACAATGGGGTTTTAAAAAAGCTCCTGCAAAGTTATTCATGCTTCACCTAAACTTGGTTTGCCATTCTCTGGTAGAAAAGCATGGAAAGAGAAGTGTTCTCCCTAATCAGGATGGTTTCTCCTCCTCACTTCTCTCCATTGTTGAGAGGTATCACCATCCAGTTGGTGAATCAGCCAGAAACCTGTGTGTCAGCTCCCTCTGCTCCTCAGAAATTCACCAGAACACCCTATTGTTCTACTTCCTGGCTGCAGCCATCTTGTTTCTCTTCTTTTCTTGCCAGTGTCATTACTTTAGATCAGGCCTCCAGCATCTCTCTCCTGATCTCTCTGTTCCCACGTTTGTCCCATTTCAATCTGTCTCCACAGTACACCAAGAGTAAGTAATCTTTACAAAATGTAAATCTAATTCATCTTGCTCCCCTACTTAGCACCCTCCGTTGGCTTCCTGTAAGTCTTAGGTAAGACCCAACCTCCTTATAAGATGCTTTACAATAGGCCCCCAGTTTAACTTCATCTCTTGCCACATTTGCTCTTTCTTCCTTCTGCAATGGATGCCTTAGCCATATTGAATGATGTGGTGTTCTTCAGATTCCCCAAGCTACCCTTCCTCCAAATGCCAGGAGCCCTCTTCTTGTCCCTACTCTCCCTTCTCAACACCGCAGCCTCCCTTCTCCATCAAGAATCCTACCATTCTTCAGGTCTTTGCTTACACACCCATCAATACATTAAAGATGCCTTTCCTGATTCATTCACTACCAACTACTTCATTAACTAAAGTCCAAAGAAGAGGTCTTCTTTGCATCCATATCTTCAATGTTTAACACAGCGCCAGGGGCACTAATAAGACACTATGTGTTAACTAACTTGAATTTAAATTTAAAAAAATTTCCACCATCACTATTTGCTGAATGAATGAATGTTTGAAGAATCCTTGATTTTTTGAAGGAACCATATTACCTCTGGAATAACCACCAATTAAACACTTTGCTCTTTGAATCATAATTTGAGGGCAGAAAATTACCAAGATGTTTGCATTTCACACTGAAATTAATTCAATAATATAATAATCATTCTGATTTATCTCTTATCCAACCTTTTGTCCATCTCTAAACATTGAACAAAAGAACAGTCTGTTTTAACAGCCAAATAGTTTCTAAATTAAAAGTAATTAATTCATGAAGCCCAGAAAAATAATTGCACATTTCCATAAACAATGAAAATATCAGTGTAAGATGTAACTATAAAGTGAATTATTTATATTTTTAGCAAAAATACCCCAACATAGTCACTTTGGCAAACAAGGCCTTCCTTCTGGTGATGGTGCCATTGCACAAAAACATCATAAAGCACCTCCCTGGATCTCATTCCCTTTAGCCCCTCCAGGGTTCTGGTCCCCTCAGTCCCATATTTAGCCCCTGGACCACCTACTATAGTTCCTTCCCTTTTATTGAGGGAGCTGGAAGCTCTCCAGTCATTAACACATTTCCTCAGACCCTGCAACCCCTGCCATCTCTTGCTCTCTCTCCTTTCTTAGGAAGGAGATGTCCATACTTAGTCTTCCTAGATATTCTTGAATGCACTGTAGATTAATTTTTGTCTCTATCATTCCATTGAAACTCTTCCCTAAGCCCACCCATGAGCTCTACAATGCCGACTCCAACCAACATCCTCTATCTTTCCCTTCCTTGACCTCTCTGAATCATTTGATGCTATACTACTTTATGTTGATATTACACATACTTTATCTTGAAACAGTACCACCCATTTCTGACTGAGTAATCAGAACCAAGAACCATTATGCTTTTTTAGACTACTTTGCATATGCTTAATCTGATCTATTCTGTGTTGAATTAAAGTCAAACTCTCAGAAGGAAATCTTTAGCTTCCTGATTTAAAACATTTCACTGCAGCCCCTTCATGGTCCACATATATGGTCAGAATCATTGCTGTCTTCTTTTTAACATCTCTCAAACCCCTTCCAGTGTGAGCCTCTTTGCTAGTTCTTCCCGTGTTTCTGTCCTCCTAAATGTTGATTTGATATTCCCCAGAACTGAAGCTTCAATTCTCTGCTTTCCTCCATCTA